GTCCCAAGCTGAGTACAGGACAGGCTGCTTGTAAGTATCAATGGCTTGCAAATTACACTGAGGTAAATGCTCAGTAAATGCAGCCATTCTCATCATTCCCCAAGGGAGCCAGCCAGTGTCTTTCTGTCTGTTTCTCTCTTCTGAGACATTGTCTGGCAATTTATGAGGTCTGGAATGCAGTTCTCCACCTGGCTCACCTATTAAATATCTATATAGTCTCCAAGGTGAAGCTCAAATATCACCTCCACCTTGTCCTCCAGGCCCTCCAGGCCAGGGCCAGGACCTATTCATGATGCATGCCCCTTACAATAGCTGACCATAACAACTGCTGATGTTAACTAGTTTTTGAGAAGCATATATAAACAATTACCATTACACATAGAAACCGGAATATTGATTTTCAGGCTTCCATACCACCACCAACACCCACCATTAGAGTCAATGTGTTAATTATTTTACCTTATGACTTCTACCCTTCACTTCTAACCCCTCATAGCAGGAGTAAAATAGAGGAAAAGGGACACAGCCAATGTTAAAGTTTTCCAAGTCACATTAGGGATTCCCAGGACCTGGATATGAATCCAGGAAATACTGGAATCAGATATTCCTCAAAGCATCCTCTGGTACCTCTGCACTTGAGGCCCTGCCCACTATCACCTATCATACAACAGTACCAACTTGGTCACAAGAGCCACAGCCACACTGCCTCCAGCATTCAAGAGTGAGCTATATCAGGCCTCCAAGGGCAATGGCATGTCTCCCTGACTATCAGTGCGGGGCTCAGGAACTCTCACACCACAAACAGCAGACGCCTGGAAGTCTTGCACCTCTGTGATATTATCATCTAAAAATCCTATTTTCCTTGTGAAATAGTAAACAGATATAATCTCCCATCCAGTCCAGAGTGCTAAGACCAAACTAAGGGCATCAGCACTGCAGAGATCAGAACTACTAAACTTTCTACAGTCATAAAACACTATGCCTGTTGTACTCATTAACAAGAAATGTGTGGCTTACTCATGCTGTGGGTGCACACAAGACAAATTACTCAGTACATACAAGAAAATGAATGGCACAACCCTTAAGCTGAGCATAGAAAACCAAAGCATTCCATAAATCTGATAAAATTTAAAAATAAATCCATAAAATTAGCAAAAACCATTAATGACGCATTCAAATAAAACTAATGGAACATGCCATTCATAAAATGTAATATTCTTCACTCCTTTTTAATTTCCTGCAATAAGGCTTTGGCACTACTGCTTAAACCAACATCACCCTCTACTTGTTTAAATGTAAAGTGCTCTCTGGTTTGTTTCTCGGTTGACTACTCTCAAACATACCTAATTCTACTTTATTATTAAGATCTACTGACAGTAATTTATATCCCCCAATGAAACATAAAGTTGGTAAAAGTCCCAAGAGTTCAAGGACACATGATCAAACATGTGAACTGGCAAAAATTCACATGAAATCTACTTTACTCAGACTTTTCCATTTAAATGCTAATTTATTCAGTTAATAAAAGCAAGCTGAGCAGCAAATATGGACAGAGAAGATAGTCTACAAAATTCTCAACAATATATGTCATTCATTTGATAATAAATATTATATATTGCTCAGTGGTACAGTGAGTGCTGGTATGCTTGAGGCCCTGACTTCCATTCCCAGCACACACACAAAAAAGAAAACCGGAGAAGAACAAAGGCTGAAAGAAATAGAGGCAAAGAGGCAAAGAACAATGGCACATTGTGCCTATCACTGAGTAGCTCCTGTCCAAAATCAGGGAAGCATGTGGGTTTTTCAATCTAGGATCTTAATATAACAGATCAAAAATATTACAAATCACCTATTCTCTTTCCAAATTATTTGACACAAAATAGTTTGGGGGGTTTTGCTTTTTTTTTTTTTTATTGTACTGGGGATTGAACCCCGGGCTGCTTTTCCTCTGAGCTACAATCCCAGTCCTTTTTTAATTGAGACAGGGTTAGCCAAATTGTTGAGAATCTCATTAAATTGATGAGATTGGCCTTGAACCTGCAATCCCCCTACTTAGGCCTCCCAAGTCACTGGGATTACAGGCATGCACCACCATGGCCACGAAAATTTTTAAAAGCATTTTTTAAAAGCACATGTGCCTTCAGCATACTCTGAGAGTTATTTAATTTGATGTACAACATCTTCACTACAGAGAAGCAGTTAAAATAGTCACCTTTTGGAATGGTGACAAGGCTCAATGGAACAGTGCTGGCCTATCATGCTCAAAGCCCTGGGTTCAATCCCCAGCATCATATAACAAAAGTCACCTTTCAGCAAACCAATAGGAAAAGAAATGAAGATACTTGTACACAGGCAGACAGATTGAAAAGGGCTCCCAAAGGTTGATCTCCAGTCACTATGGTATTATCCCTGTGGTCTCTGAAGAGCGAGTAGGAAATCATCAAGATGGAGCTTCTGCACTGACCCTTTCATTCCTGTCTACATCTTCCACCAAATCTCATAACTATCTCATGGTAGGCTGCCAATCCCTGAGACTCAATCTCTATATTGAAGTACCAGAAAAGCAAGCATCCAGAGACTTAAGAGAGCTCCACAAATTCACTATCTATAGGAAAAGGAAGCAGCGTTCACCCTCATGGTCTTAGACACTATTCAAACAGAGCCTCTTAGGCCTTTGCTCTCTTCCTTTTCTGCCCTTATCTAAGTCCATTATGTATGTAGGGATAAGGGGGAGGGGTACTGGGGATTGAACCCAGAGTTGCCTACCACTGAGCTATATCCCCAGCCCTTGTTCTTCATTTTGAGACAGAGTCTCATCAATTTGCCAAGGTTGGTCTTGAACTTGGGGTCTCCTGCTTCAGCCTCTCAAGTTGCATGTGAAAAAGTGAAGGCAACTCAAAACTCCCTGAAGATAAAATGGAATCTAAGACACTTCACAATCATGACTCTACCCAAACCAGCCTTCTTTTCTTTAGAAAGTAGAGCCACTAAAATTAGGATGCCTGGGTTCTAATGCCAGCTCCCCAGCTTCTGGCTACTTTACCCTCTCTGTAATTCAACTTCCTCCTCTGTAAATATCCATGCTGGTCTGTGCCCACTCTTTCATCCTGACTACCCAAGTCCAAAGTCATTTACAAAGGTCAGCTGAAGGCCCACTTCCCTTGAAAACTCTTACTGGATGACCTCGGCCGCTCCCTTCACTTACTTTACAAAAGTTCTACAGCACAAAGTCTGAAGCTCTCATTGTAACTTTTACCTGTGCACCTACATTATCTTGGGGTTCATCTAATTATTCCCCACCAGCATCCCACTCATGATGCTGTCATGAGTGACAGAGACACTGCTGCTTCAGGTGGTCATCAGCAACACAATATTAATATCAACAATATTACTACAACCAATTCCTGAATGCACTGTCAGACACCATGCTAAGTATTTTATATATTTCCTTAATCCATCTTGGTAAATCTCTCTACTTCCATTTCATAATTGAGGAAGAAACCTTAAGGTAGAAAAACTAGTGAGATGAGAGCAAAGAGAGTAGAGAACTCAAACTCAGTTCCAAGTCTTGGAGCTGCTAAGTGTTAAGTTGGGAGTGAAATGGTAACTGTTTCAAAGAATTTCATTTATGAACTCTTTTTTTTTTTTAAGTTGTAGATGGACACAATACCTTTATTTTTTCTATTTAGTTTGTTTATTTGGTGCTGGATATCAAACCCAGTGTCTCACGCATGTTAGGCAAGTGCTCCACCACTGAGCCACAACCTAACAATTTATTTCTACGCTCTTCTAGGGGCTGCAGATACAGCAGGGGATAAACCAAAACATCCCTGCTTGGGGCTGGGGATGTGGCTCAAGCAGTAGCCCGCTCACATGCCGCTCGCCTGGCATGCGTGTGGCCCGGGTTTGATCCTCTGCACCACATACAAACAAAGATGTTGTGTCCGCCGAAAACAAAAAAATAAATATTAAAAAAAAAAAAATCTCTCTCCCCCCCCAAAAAAAAAAAAAAAAAAAATCCCTGCTTTCATGCAGCTTACAATCTTCTTTCCCAATATTTTCATTCAAGTACATAATCCTAAATCCTCTTAAATGACCTAAGATTTCCATACACAAAAAAATATGAAATATGGATAATAAAAATTAGTATGGAAGTATGAGCATGGTACTCTACTCGGAGCCAGAAAACCTGGGCTGGATTTTCAGCTTTGCCTTACTGGCAGCACGTTCCTGGGCAAATTCCTTCACCTGACTCTCCATTTCCTAACCTGTAAAAAGACTGTTTATGAGATAATGTCCGAAGCTGCCCACCTAGCACAATGAAAATATGTACTTGTTTCAATCTATAAACAAATTTCCCTCTCTCCCCTCCTTCACCCACTCCACGCAGTTTCACAAGGATTTCACAATTTGTATCATCACTATGTATATGTTAAAAACTACTCGGAGTTACACTGAGGACGGAAAAGTGACCGAGCTCTTACTTTCTACGGTAATTCTCATTCCAGATCATCCTCACCGGCTCCAATTTCAGGCCCCAGACGACTGTGATTCAGATAAATGAGGTGACAGGTCGGGAATGACAGCAATTCACATGAGGGCCGGGCAGTGTCTATAAAACGTTCCCTCCCAGTGACCTTCTGCAGAGGCACTTTTGTTGCAGCGCGAGAGCAAGGTGGCCACCCGAGCAGGCCCGACGCCCGGAGCCAGGAGACGCGGCACCTGGGAGACTGCCGAGCCCCTGACCCGAGGCTGTGTCCCTGCACACCTGTCTCCGCGAGGAGCCCTGCTGCTCTTTTGCCACTGCCACCCCGCCGGCCACCTCGCCGGCTCTTCAACCGCGGCCATCCGCGGCGGCGCAGGCTCCTCGGCCCGTGCCCCCCGCCGCCGGTGACCTCCCGCGCTTGGGCAGTCGCCAGGCCTGACCCCGTGCGACTCCCCTCCCGCCCTCCGCGCCGCTCGGCTCCGAGCCCGGCCCGCCAGGGGCGGGAGGCTCTCACCTAGCTTCACCACCGCATCCGCCATGCACCGGTCCCACTTCCTGCCGAGGTCTGACTCCGACATGTTCCCCTCCCGCGGCTCCAGCTTTCCTCGCAGCCGGCCCCCGCGCTCCCACTCTCCTCAAGTCTCGCGAGAGCCGGCCGAGAGCCGGAAAGGCCGGCGCCGGCGCTCCAGATATCGCGAGATGACCCGTCCGCCTCCGTCCCTTCCGTTTTTTTCAGTTGGTCGTCAAGGTGACGGGTTGCCTGCAGCCCGGAGGTGACCCTGACCTTGAGTTGTCAGGGGTTGCGATGCTGACAGCTTCCTAGGCGGCGTCCAGAGCCCCGTCCTAGGCCTTGCCTCTGCACCACCTGCCGAAACGCTGGCCCAGAAAACGTCGAGGGCAGGAGGGGGCGCGGCTCTCGACCCTCGGGCCTGCGCCCACCCACCACCAGCGGAAACGGCCCGGCAGAGGCCACCGCTTGCCAATCAAACGGATGCTCTTTTGGCCCGACCTGACTGTCCGTCCCCCCCGGACACCGCCCTTTCCTAGTTCTCTTCTCCTTCTCTCTAGGCGTCCCCCAGGTCTGCTTTTTTCCCCTCCAACTGTTCAAAGAATGTGGGTTCTCATATCGCCTCCCTGAGTAATGGCGACTACCGCTACATCGTATCCCCAGATCGAACGTCGGCCTCGAGCTCCCAGTTCAAGGAGCCGAGCGGCCTCCTTACAAGTGTCATCAGTTTTAGTCTTCCGCGTTCCCATCCTCCATCCTACCCACAAATGTAAACCTCGCAAATGAGAAGCTACCAATGACTAGTTGACAGGCGGCGTCTGTCCAAGCTTCAACGCTGCGTTCATTCTAGGAAACCTGCTCTAACCGAGTTCACAGCTGCTCCCTGCTGCATTGCTCCACGAGTTTGCCTCCCCCATTCAATTCTCTACCCCGGTGTCGAAACACCTGCTTATAGATGTTATTTGCCAGTAAAGCTAGAAGCTCCTTAAGGGCCTGAACTGCTCCTTCCTTATCTGCACACTGCCGGATTAGGGCACAATACCGTGAATAGTAGGAACTTCTATTAAATATTTGTTGAACTGAATTGAATGAGTGTAAAATGAATGATTGAATTAGAGACAGAAGTTCTGTTCCGGGAAAACTAGCATCGCATTTGTGTTGAAAAAGATTTAATTTCACTTCAGGTTGAGATTAGTATCTTCGTTTTCACGGATTTGGAAACTTCGAGAAGTTAGGCAATATGGGAGATGCACAAGGCTCTGCACTGTGTAGATTTAGAAACTGACAGAGGCATTTTTATTGGATTCAGGAGAGTTGTAAACTTTAGTAAGAGGTAGAGAGTGAATTACGAAAGCGATCGCAGGCAGATGGTATAGCAAGAATTCCGGAGCCAGGCTGTCTGGATTCAGATCCCAGCTTTGACGTTTCCGAGCTTCTATCCTTTATGCTGTATTTCCACTATTCCCTCCCCAGTTCAATGTTTTGTGCACTGTGTGGTAACCCCAGCACTAGGACATTATATAACACATAGTGTTTATTTATTTAAAATAAGTTTCTCAATACTGAAGTTACAAATGTGGGAAGCAGGAAAGCTCCAGAGAACTCTGCTGTTGAATTGGATTTGAAAGTGTTACTATGATCTCATGGTATTTAATAAAATATATTTTTAAAAAAAGGATAGATGGGAGGTGGGGCATAACTCAGTGGTAGAGTGCTTGCCTAGCATGTGCAAAGCCCTGGGCTCAATCCCACCACCATACACACATTAAAAAAAAAAAAAAAAGTAGATAAAGCTTGGTTCGTTGGTGCACACTGTAAAACCAGTAGCTCGGGAGGCTGAGGCAAGACGATGGCAAGTTCAAAGCCAGCCTCAGCAACTTGGGAAGGCTCTAAGCAACACAGCGAGATCCTGTCTCTAAATAAAATATTTAAAAAGGGCTGGGGATGTTGCTCAGTGTTTGAGTGCCTCTGGGTTCAATCCCTGTTACCCTCCCCCCACCAAAAAAGATAAAGGTGTACACATGTGTGTTCATGTACATATGTTCAGTGTATGTACAAATTTCCTGATCCTGCCTACAGACAAGGCCTAAAAGCAAAGATAAACCAGTAAACAATAAGCAAACTGAGCTCTTGGCTTCTAAATACCATTCTCTACTAAAAGGACCAGGGCTCCTTGGAAAAATGACTTGAGACAGCAGGACTGGAGCAGGGAAGATACAAGACTAGTCTGGAATATCTTGTGTTGCAAAATGAGGAAGCCCATGAAGGATGATAGTGACATGTCACAAGTATTTTGATAACTACCAACTGTCTCAAGAGTGCTCGGCTCTGAACTGGAACCCTGTGCAGTCATTACCACTATTATTAGCCCTCCTCTCCATTGTCCAACCCACGTCTCACAAAGACAAGATTGCATTTCAAATAGATAAAAACAGACTTTAGGAATAAAACAATTTCACAGCAAGAGGGCCAGCATTTTTTCTTTTTACCCTGAACTGAAGGAAAGTAAAATAGTGAAAACTCTCAGGTAAGTAGACTAGATTTTAGCCTCCATTGGGTCATCGACTAAACATAAGCCTTTTGTTTAGTTTACTAGGTTGTAAAGTCAGCTTCATTAACAAGGCAGATTAGACTGTTTTATAGCACTGCACCTGCATAAATAAAGGTCTTTTAAGATGCCAGTGATTTTTTTCATAGTTTTCCTTCAATTAAAAACTAATTCCTTTCTTAAAGGGAGAGTCACACTTTTCATTTCATATCTTCTTTCTCCAAGAAGTATCTCATATCATTTTGCCCCTTTGGGAGTGTGTCCAGAATCAAATGGCTGCTATGTTACTGCTTTCTTTTGATTCCAAAGTTCAGGTGTACCCCCCCTTTTTATGTAGGTATATGTGTGAAATATAAAAAGCATACAGAAAAGTGCTAAGAACATAAATGGGGCTTAACAAATTGTTGTAAAATGACCATTGTAGCACCTCAGAAGCTCCTCCCTGTGTGTCCTTTGCCAGTTGATATCTGCTGCATTCCTGCTAGCATAACTCCTAATCTTTTTATGTTATTAATTCCTTGCTTTTCACTACATGCAACTTCCTGGTTATATACCCTTAAACAATATGGTTTAATTTTGTATAGCTTTGAACTTACTATAAATGGAATCAAATGTTTGTATACTGTGGTATTTGGCTTCTTTTGCTCATTGTTGTGCTTTAAGATTCTATTTCCTTGTTATATAGTATTCCATTATATTCTATTTGTTATTTGTTCTATTGTCCATAAATGTTTGGATTGTTTCCACTTTGGAACTATTGCCAACAAGTTTTCTCATTCTTATCCATATACTACATATGTGTATACATATATGCTCATTGGTGTACATCCCCCGCAATCTTGATACTGGGGATTGAACCCCGGAGCACTCTACCACTAGGCTACATCTCCAGCCTTTTTTTTTTCAATTTATTTTTATTTATTTATTTATTTATTTTGAGGCAGAGTCTCACTAAATTGCCCAGGCTAGCTTCAACTTGCAATCCTCCTGCCCCAGCCTCCTCAGTCACAGGCACCACCTTTCCCAGCCCTAGTATACATTTAAAAAAAAATTTTTTTTATGTAGATTGACACAGTACCCTTATTTTATTTATTTATATGGTGCTGAGGATTAAACCCAGTGCCCCATGCATGGGAGGCAAGTGCTCTACCACTGAGCCACAACCCCAGCCCCTAGCATACATTTTTAATGGACAAATACAAAAGAAGAGCAATAGGGAATGCATATCTTTAGCTTTACTAACACTGCCAAATTTTAACACAAAGTGATTATTAATATCCTCACCAACAGTATCTGACCATTTCTGATATTCCACATTCTTACCGACAGTTGGCTTTTATTTACACTTCAATATTATTGCCAATCTGCTAGGTGTGTGGTGGTGTTGCTACTAGATCATGTTCTCCAAATGTTTAATGAAAAAACATAGCCAGGCACTATGAGGCACACCTGTAATCCCAGTGACTTGGGAGACTGAAGCAGGAGGATGACAAGTTCAAATCCAAAACTCAGCAATTTAGTAAGGCCCTGAACAACTTAGCAAGACCCTGTCTCAAAATACAAAACATATAAAGGGCTGGGGATATGGCTCTGTGGTTAAGCACCCCTGAATTTAATCCCTGGTTTGAAAAAAAAATGTATACACACATATACTTGAAGTAGGAGTGAGAGATTCCAACAGAGGCTGAGAGTCCCTGAAAAAGTTGTAAAGAAGACAGACACATCTCACTAGCTTAATGTTTTGCTAACTTGAAGCAGGGATACTGGGTTGAATAGTGTTTATATTCTTCCCAGAACCTCAGAACATGAGCTCAATTAGAATAGGAATGTTACAGACGTAAGTAGTTGAGATTCTATCACACCGGAATAAGACCCAGCACTGAACCAAAATGACTGCTGTCCTTATACGAAAGAAAAGATACAGACACAGAGGAAGACAGCCATGTGGCGACAGAGGCAGGGGGATCTGACTTATGTGGCTGCGAGCCAAGGACACCGACCCAAGGACTGCCAACAACCACTAGAAGCTAGGGAGAAAAGCAGGGCATGATGCTCCCTCTGAGCCCCTGGAGGGAAATCAACCCTACCACCACCTTGGTTTTGGAGTCCGCCTTCAGAACTCTGAGGAACAGCATTTTCTGTTTCAAGTCACCTAGTTTGTAATACTTCATTATGACAGTCCTAGGGGACTAGCACCAGGGAACACCTGCACTGGAAATCCTGACAGCTGCATCCCAGTCTGCTCTGCCTCGGCGGCATCACCTGTCCTGACGGGTGGGCGTGCCCATCAGCTCTCCCTTATGCTCTCCTACATGCTTCCAGCTGCCTCCTGCTGGTGAGGGCTCCGCTGGAGGCAGTGCAACATGGTGCAGGGTTCTGCACCTGTCCCCCTTGTTTTGCAAATGACCCCTTTCTTTATTAAACTCTCCATTTCCAAGTTTGTGCAAAGTGTGGCAGCTGTTTCCTGCCAGGACCTTGACTGATAAACAGACTCACCCCATTCCCTCCCCAGCCCTACCCCGCTTGTTTCCTTCATTTGAGTATCATGGTTTGCAATTATCTTCTCTGATTGGTTACTCCTCCCTCCCTCACTGTTTCTCCCACCAGACAGCAAG